CGAAGCAAGAATCTGGACGCTTGGTTGGCGAAAGCCTTTTCCGTCCTGTGCAATCTGACCAGACCTGACTCGATTTGAATTTGAACTGAACTGGTTGACCTTGACCTCGAGTTGTGTGTCTTGTTTCACAAACATGATTGTGCGTGTTTTTCTATGGGTTTTATATTTGAACGCTGTGTATGGGTTGTTTGAGGACCAAATAGGAGTTTTAGATTGGTAAGTTTTTTTAAAATGACTCGGAATGGTTTTCAGGCAGCAAAAGTATCTTGGGGATGTCAAATTCGTCATACCAGACTACAAAAACAAATATTTGCTCGTCGGTTCGCGGGAAAATGTAGTTGCTGCTGTAAATAATAAAGATGGATCCCTGGGTAGATCTCTCGTTTTTATAATAATCAAACTTCAGTGTGGAGACAGGTTATGGAAGATGGTGGTATTCTGATGCAACTCGACTTGTGTGATGAATGTATGTTCGATGCGGGTACCTCATCTCATCTTTATAGATCTTGTGTCACTATCACAAAAACATGCCACTGTACTTAGAGCATGGAACCCCATCACGGGCTCGGTTTACTGGGAGAAATCTCTGTCGGAAAGTTTATCAAGGTAAGCCCGTATGAATAGTTTCTTCATTTGCTTTAGTGCTACATTTCGTTGTTCTGGTCACAGTAAGTTTAAGTAACATTCGACGACATGTTTAGATTCACTGTTGGCATTTGTCGATGACGGTGTGATTCTGGTTCGCAGATCCGATGGCAAAGTGATGTGGAACGCCAAAATTTCGTGAGTATTATTTGACCAAACTCTTGTTAAGTTACTGTTTCTTCCCATAGACATACGTTTTCACGGTTTATTTTCCTTTACGAACATTTTTTTTCACTTTGTATTGTATCTGCACAGATACCTGTTCTTTCACAATTGTCTGTCGGCCTTATCGATTGTACAATCATTTGTCTTGCATTTTCAAACAACGCCTTAGTAACGAGTACCTAGTATTCGATAGATTTGTTAACAGAAAGGAAAGTTAATTATTCTTTCCATAATCAATGTGATTATTGTCCTATACTGTGTTGTGTTATTCAACAGGGGTTAAATGATTTTTTGACATCATGAAGACGAGTAGATACCTAAGCAACGTAGAGACATGCATCCGAATTCATTTTGGGAATTGGAGTGGTTTTTTAATTTTTTTTAATTAAATAGAAGCAGAGTTATAAAGTCCCACAGTCACGTAGACATGTTATTCACTCACAGAAACTGGTAACAGCCCGGGACTTGAAATGGCGAAACACACGAGGCCCTGCTATTATAGGCGTAGTATTTAACCGAAAGAATGTATGAGTTTTCAGTCATGGGCAACATTTTATCCGTTTCAATGATTAAAAAGGTAATCGGAAGTGTGCCTAATTGAGCTATGCATACTGCAGGAAGTATTAAAAACAACCAATCAAATCCGATTAATTTCTTGGTCTGGAGAACTTATCGTTTGGTAAATACCTGTTATCGAATTCCCAGGGTTCAACTAGTAATTATCTATACCACAACTCAGTAAGAGATGCTAATAGTCCATGAAGTGGTTAACGGTTCAATAAAGTTGGTAGCTGTGCCTCGCTAAACGATGCTGCTTTGTGATATGACCCGGATAATGGAGGTTTTTCATAACTTGCCATACTTATTAGGTGTCCGTCTTCAAACAGTACCTGCGTATAACTAGCTTGAGTACTCGACTTCTATTTTGTTGTTAGTGACCATGATATCCCTTCCACGAATCGTTTCCTTGAAACGTTTTTTTTCAGTATTAAAATGAAAAAACATAAAGGAGTAACAAAATAACTTGTCTTAAGGGCGCCATACGGTAGCGGTAGTTTAGGTCGCTAGATATTCCCTAACAGTAAACATACACATCAGATTCACAGAACTGTTTGAATTTGATGTCTCCCGGCATTTCCACAAAAATATGTACAGCTTCTGGATCACACCATCATTGGGATGCTTCTGGAAATAATGGGGGAGTTAACCCACTGTTATATGACTTTCTTAGTAAATTTGGCGGCATTTTTATGATACCTTAGACAGAATTTTCCAATGGAGCTTATATGGGCGCAAACAAGACCATAGTTCAACGAATCCCGCAAGGCGTTCTCCCTCAGTGGTTCACTGCACTAGGTAATTACAGATTAGTCATTGGTTTTGTTCCATTGTTAAAGTTCCTACAGACTGCGACCAGCAGTACATCAACATCACATCAACCTTTGACACGACACCGTCATTGGGCTTATGCAAATTTTAAACAGAAGCCCCGGGGACCAGTGAAAACCACCACACCCTGGTAGTGCCGCCGCCTGTCGTCCCACAGGTTACAATTGACTATGTGGAGGCGCATTCATGAAAATGCTGAGCGTTACTGATGATGCCCCTGTACCATACTGTCAAGAATCTTCATGGATTGATTCAACCTCTATTATCCCCATAGTAAAGGAGACTATTTTTAAAATAAAGTTAGCAATCTTGTTTGGGATTGAATTCGATGCATTTAGCGTTCCGGTTCTTTTCACCATCATGTAATGAAAAGTCTTTGGTGCATAAAACCCAATCCATCTTGTCAGTTTACGCTTTGTTCCGCCGTTTTGTTATTTAATGACTTATTTTGGAGCCGCATGAAGAAACGTACAGAGCGACGAGACTGCACCTTGACGTGATGTGATGGCTTGTGCATCTCTCTGACACAACGAGCTATACGGGGTAGCTTTTGTCAAGCCGCAGATCTAATCCTGTCTAGAAGGTCAATGGGCAGAGGTCAGACGAAGTCCAGTCTCCTGGTCCTCCAGGTTGGGAGTTCGACTCGAGTCAGCGTTTCAGTCGGTAGAGGAGTAATTGATCCAAGTAGATGGGCCTCTATTTCGTTTTACCCGCTGCCTTGCGGTCTGGTTCTTGTTAGAATTAAAGGCTTTGGACGAGAACCCTAATCGTTCTGCTTACTGGCTGGATACCCTGGCAGTACCCGTCCATCAAACTCAAACGCACACAACCAAAAAAATAATTCCATACTGCATCGGTCGTCGCGCAGGATAATCAGGACCGCGCTGCCCATTGGCATCAAGCGGGGTGGGTAGTGATAAGTGGGTTACTGCTCAGATACCCCAACCTTTGTTTAATTCTGTCTTCCGTACCCAACCCTCTCCGTTTACCGCTTCTTCCAACCCGTGACATTCCCTCAGACAACTTGTTCGTCACTCACCAAAGTTCGTTGCCAAGTAGCCCGGTTAGTAGTTTACCACAAAATAGATTGCAGATTCTGAAGCCTCGTCAGCCACTTAATCTGGGGGCCTTCAACATGAGGACTCTGATGCAGGTAGATCAACAAGCGTGTCTGGCGCGTACAATGGACTCTTTGGGAATTGATGTATGCTGCGTGTCGGAGACTGGAATCCAGGATCCTAGTACTATGTCACTTAAGTGCACCGGGGTTGTCTTCGAGGTTCTTCCGCACGTCAGGTGATGGCAAAGTCCGTTCAGTAGGCCAGCGTGGTGTGGGCACTGTACTGAATAATACAGCCGAAGCCGTACTACTCGATCGGATCCCCGTCAACAGCCACTTATGTGCGATGCAACTCCAAGGATCTACCAGCATCCGGAAGGGAAGCAACACCAAAAGGTGTTTATTCATCATTTCAGCGTATGTACCGACCAACTGCAGTTCTGACGCACAAAAGGACGAGTTTTATGATGAACTCACCGAACTCACTCGGTTGAGCCGAAGCTCTGATATAGTTG